GAAGAGAAGGAATTTAATGTCTGTTGTGATTGCAAAGGCGGAGATCGAGAACGTCTATAGTTGATTGGCTGGATGGTGCTGGGAGGAGTCCTCTGCATAGGAAGGAGCATAAAGGCACAGTGACTCTTGGGAGCTGTAGTCCACAGCCCTATAGGCTGAAGGATAGCAGGGAAGCAGAGCGACGCGGAAGCAAGGACGTAGAATGGCGCGGAAGAGGCAAATTCATCTAGCGCCGATCACTGTGCATAGCCCTCCTTGTGGAGTTGTGGAGAGTTGGATTGAATACCTGGCTAACAAAGAGCATACTACTTTTAGAGCTGACACAAACGACGCAACGTGGCGCGGAAAGACGAGGTGAGATCATTTGGGTTCATTTAGAGCTGTGTTTCCTTTCGTAGCCGGTGCAACGTGTTGCAGGACTCGACCAGCTGGCCCTTTAAGAGTTATAAGGCGCTAAAGAGTGGGAATAAGCGACACTGTGAGGAGTGAAGGAGGCAGATGGGACCGGCTAGGATTTTGTAGCCCCTCATTGAGTTCTATTGAAACTCGTTGAGCTCTATAGAGCCCGTGCCTTTTAATGATAGAGCTCAGAATCTGGACTTCCTAACGCTCTGTGAGGGTTAGGTTCTGCACCCTTAAACCATATCTGACTGGCAGTTCCCCTGGTGCTATTTTTCAAGCTAGTAATTAAATTATATCCTCCTAAATAGGGGCAGAATTGACTATTTGGTCAAAGGAAAAAAAAAGAGGGAAAAAAGAGGCACCAATGATATCTGGGTTAGAAATCTAACTACTTTTGATTTAGAATTTTGAAGTCAGAATTTAGGTAAATTCTCTGTGTTGGTTAATCTTGGTTTTATAATAAGCCTGTATTTCTATTTTCTTTTCTGATTGCATAATGACATGCAATGGCTAGATACCTCTCCATATTTAAACATCTGAACTTTTAGTCATTCTGTTGGATTTTGGAGTAGGTTTGTGAAAAGGCTGTTTAGAGACCAGAGTCTGGATTTTGAATTTGCTTGTGTTCTTCTAGTAGGCCTTTCCATGGTTAGATTGTCTGTAAGGTTAAAAGACTGTGTAGATTGAAGTGGAAAAGAGGAAGATATAAGGAAAAAAGGACACTTTGTGTAAACTAATAGATTAGTATCACTTTAGTGATGTCTATGAATTTAAGGAGTCAAGTGCTCAAAGCGCAAGCCCCCCAACAGAGGAGACCCTCGATAGAACAACCGAAGGGAGGAAGTGACCCTTATAGTATACTATTAGATGAGATAAAATCTATGCGGTCCGATCTAAGTAGGGAAATTCAAGATCTACGGCAGGACATGATGGACTTTAAATCTGAGATTAAGGAAGAATTAAGAGCAGAAATGAAGGGCGTAAGAAGGGCTATCGACAAAATATCAGTAGAATTTAGTAAAATGAAAACAAAGATGGGTAGTATTGAAGATAAGCAGAATAAATTTGAGGAGAACATCGAAGGTCTGAAAGATTTACCAAAGGACTTAGAGAATGAAAGAATTAGAAGTGATGCCAAATTAAGGGAGAAACCGGTAAAGTTGAGAGGACTTCCAGAACAAGAGGGGGAGAACTTGATGGAGATCTTAGTCCCGGCCTTGGCTAATTACCTGGGAAAACCAGAGCATCATTTTGAGCTAGAGATAGATAAGATCTTTAGGCTGAATTCTAAGATAGCTACTCAGAGGAGTCTTCCCAGGGACATCATGATAAATTCTGTTAGGAGACAGGTCAGGGACCAATTATTAAGCTTCCAAAATGAGACACCCTTAGTAATTAAAGATTGTGAATTGAAGATATTCAAGGACGTGACACCGAATGTAATGAGGAAGAGGCGGGAATACACCTTTCTAACTAATCAGTTACAAAGGTTTAATATAACATACAGATGGCTAATTCCAGAAGGTGTCACTTTCTGGTTTAGAAAGACTAGAGTGGAGTTGAGGTCCCTGTCGGACGTGAAAGTTTTGGAGAAAGTATAGAGGGGAGTTTAAGGTCGATGAGAGATTCGAAAGTAGGAAAAAACAGAGGGACGAATCTAAGACTGAGACTAAGGAAAGAGATACTAGTAGTCACGCAAGCCTGATAGGGCAAGCTGAGGAGACAGAGGAGATTGATAGAAGAAATAGAATTAGAAGCAGAAAAGGGATAAAAGCTACTCAACTTACTAAGAAAATACTGCCAGAAGAGATGTTAGAAAGCAGAGAGTCAAAGGGGAACTGTCATGGTAAAGAGATTGATAAGCTCCAGAAATTAAAAAAAGGGATATATGAGGGTTCCAAAACAACGACTGATGAGGATATAGATGACGACGTTGATGAGGATGTGGATGATGATGATGATGAGATTGCAGATTTAGGAGGGAGAGGTTTGCTAGATGAAGAAGAATTCAACCTAGGAAATGAGTAGAAACAACAAATTCATATCCTGGAATGTGAAGGGCCTAAATGGCCCAATAAAGAGAAAGCAGGTATTTCATTATTCGTTAAAATTGAACTGCGCAGTCACATGTTTACAAGAGACAAAAGTCAAAGCGGATAATAGAGAACTCTTAAAAAATCATAAACTGGGCAGAGAATTTACAAGTGCTTTTAGAAAAAGTAAACGGGGTGTGGTTCTTTATATTAAAGATAGGTTTGAACCTAGGGAAATTTTGAATGATCCCAAGGGTCGTTATATTGGAGCCGAAATATTTTGGCAAGGCAAGAAATTAGTAATTATTGGAATTTATGCACCAAATGATAATAAAGGAAAGTTTTACAGTGAATTGTTGTCTAAACTAACTTAATATAGAAATAATGATTATGATTGGTGACTTTAATGGGGTCATTGATCCGAGGATTGATAGATTATCTCATAAGATAATAAAATCAAACCAGGGAAAACTCCCATGTCAATTTTTCAATTTGACAGAGCAATATGGCCAGGCAGATGCATGGAGGGCTAAGTATAGTCAGATTAATGAATTTACTTTTTTTTCTAAAAGGCACAAAACCTGGGCCCGTATTGATATGTTTTTAATTTCTAAAGAAATGTGCCCTTTAATTACAAAAATGGAAGTTTTGCCCAAAATCAAGTCAGATCATCAACCTATAACAATTGAATTTAGAGAGGAGACTAGAGGCTATAATTGGAGGTTGAATGATTCACTTTTGAAAAATGAAGACGTGGTGAAGGAAGCCAAAACATTGTTGAAAAATTATTTTTTGGAAAACATGGATCAGGAAGTACCCATAGCTATGATCTGGGATGCTTTAAAGGCAGTAAGCCGAGGTTTTTCATAAAGAAAAGATCGAAGTATAAAAAGAAAAGATTGAAGGAATTGGGCAATATTCAAAGTCAATTAAAACTCAAGGAGATTCAAATTAAAAAAGATCTAAAAAATGACATGTTAATAAAGGAAATTAAAGGCTTAGAACAAAGAATGTCGGCATGGCTAGTGGAAGATATAGCCAAAAAAATGAAATATGTTAAACAAAGACTCTTCGAAGTGCTTAATAAACCAGGGAAATTACTTGCACATCAATTAAGACAAGACAAGACAAAGAAAGTGATACATAGATTGAAAGAAAAGGGTAAAGAAATAACGGATCAAAAAGAGTTGAAGCAAAGCATTTGGAATTTTTATTATGACCTTTATAAAAAAGATGAG